TTTTTTTTTTTGATTATCGGAACTTACATTCCGAATTCTAAATCGAATGAGAGAAAAGGGGGGCCAAATCAATCTAAAAAAAGAAAAATTTTCTTTGTCTTTGATATGTACGTACGTGTCCATTATTCCTAAAGTTATATTTATTATACGTGTAATCAAAGTTTATAAATTTTATATTCTTTTAAATAATTTATCACAATTATCTGCAGTAATATTTGTCGCAAAATAGAATTTGTATAAACTTGTATATTTATTCAATATTCTGATTGAAGGATTGAGGCTAATGAATCAAACGAATTTGGTGAATCTATAATTCGAAAATAGGAGAATGCATAAAAAACGATCATAAGAACGGATTTTTAATGATTTACAAATCAAGACACAACGCTTTCATTATATTTGCGCAGTGCATAATCAGCAATACGTGATTGGTTGATTGATGGTAGCTGAATAAATTTGGACTCGACGCGTTCCCTTTTTGGAAAAAATTTACATGATTGTATAATTTAAAAGAAAGGATGTTATTGTTTTGGATCAGGGACTACTTTTAATTTAATAAATATAAGTTTATTGATTATGCACATTATAAGTAAATTTTAAATGCAGTAGCACTCAAATTATCAAATTTTGTAAGAAATGACTGGTTCTTTTTTCTCCGGAATCCGAAAAGTACAAGTTGAATCAATTAAACGCATTTGTTATCAATCATTGTTTCAAATCACCCCCGTATATTAATAATTTAGTTTATGAAAAAAGAAAAATAATTTTTTATTTTTATTCCATTTTCGTTTTACCGAAATCCGGATTCCGGAAAATGCCTTTTTTAATACATGAGTAAGCGCATTGTTATTTATCATATTTCAAAATCATTCAATGCATCAGTTGACCTTCTTGTAATACTTAAAAATTTCGTATTTTTGTAAAAAGAAAATTATTTTTTATTGATCGAAAATTTCAACACGATTTATTGCAGCGGATTTCGGAATTTTCAAGATAAAAAAAAGGTGATTTATTATGATTTAATTAATAAAATACATTTTATTCAAATTACTCCTAATAAAAGGATTAATAATAATTTGAATATATGCATATATTGTTTCACAATAATATATATATTTCTTTTTAAAGTTATAAATATGTTATTAGAAAAAAATTTATTTATTTTTTTTTTCTTTGATACGTCCATATTTATTAGATAGCGCATTTGTTTTGATCAATTGATCAAACGATGATAAAAAAAAAAAACTATCGTATCTCTTTACTGTATAATTTATATTATTGATAAAGATAAATAAATGTTCATTGTTTATATATTTATATTTTTATATAATTTATTTTGTCATAATCGGGGAGGAGATGGTAAAAAAGATTAAGATTACCGTTAAAATCTAAACAATCAATGATGTGTAATTTAATTTTCTAATATATTCGGTCCATCTAGTTCCCGTACTCTCCCATACCTCGTAAACGATTAGTGATAATTATATATAAATACGGTATCAAAACAATTATTGGAAAAAGCAAATTTTTTTTTCAAATTTTTTTTTTTTTTTTTTAAAAAAAAAATCATGAAGGCAAAGGAAATAAAGTTAACGGATTATCAAAAATTCCTGAATTTTATGGAAAACCCACCTTGCGACTTAAATATCGACCTTGATGATCTTTTTCAAAATATTTATAATAACAACCCATACACTTTATATCGTCGTAATAAAATGATACAACTTAGATTAGATGGACCATATGCTATTAATTATAAAATATTATTAGTTAGAATGTGGCATAATGAGCCTAACGAAATAAAAGAATTTTTTAAAATTCTAGCGATCGAAGGAAATCGTCGGTTTAAATTGAGATCGCAAATGCCATATTATGAATATTACCAACCACAACTATCCTCACCCCGATCATATCAAACGCAACCACAAACAACGCAAACATATGAATATTACCAACCTTACCAACCACAACCATCCTCAACGCAGCCACAATTACATGAAACCTATGAATATTACCAACCTTACCAACCACAACCATCCTCAACGCAACCACAAACCTATGAAACCTATGAATATTACCAACCTTACCAACCACAACTATCCTCAACGCAACCACAATTACAATTTCAGCCATATGAGGCAAATGAATTTTATGAGCTATATGACCAACCACAACCGCAACCGCTATCACAACCGCAACAGCTGCAACAACCGCAACAGCTGCAACAACCGCAACAGCAATCGCAACCTCATCTACTATTATATCCTCTCCAACTGCAACCACAACAAGAAGAATTCCTGCAATCATATATACCAGTTGATGAATTTCAGCTGCAGTCAAGTGAACAACATGAACAACCGCAGTTACCAATTGATTATGACTTTTATTTTTATTAAGCTTGCTTAATTTTTTTATCATAAGATTTTATATCATAAGATTAATTGTAAAGAAAAATATTAATAAAATTTATAATATAACAATAACAATCTTATTGTCCAAAAGTATTTTATAATGCTGGCAATACACAATTCTAATGATACAAGCATAGTTTCCCATATTCAATAACAAATTACATTGTAAAAATGATATAATAAATCTTGTGAAACATGATTTTATGATATAGATTTTCATTTCTCATTTCTCATTTGCGATTTTCTCACCGTGATTATCTCATTGATTCTTGTGCTGTAACTTTTTTCAATTTTTCTAATTGCTACCAAACGTATTCTTCAAGAAACAACTGACTGCATACACTCAAGCATGTCACATCAAATATTTTTTATTATTTATTCACACTATTTAAACGTGTATACTGTAATTCACTAAAGTACCCGCAAAACAAACCACCCGCTTTTATAGTGCCTGTATCAACAATTATGATACAGATAATGCAGAATTTGCCGTTGTCGGAGGTCGTTATGTAAGTATATCATTTTAATAAAAAAATTGTAACGTCCCTTAGTAACCTTATTAGCTTTCTATGTTATATAGTTTTTTTATTTTCTATATTGTTCTATAAGCCGGTAGCTTTAATCATTACACAATAATGTGTTGGCGAGAATGTAAATTGTTTAAATTTACTTGTGTATTTTTTTTGTTACACCGTTACTCACCGTGGCAGGATTCGCTGCCGTTATTAAAATTATAAATACGTTGGTTGGGCTTTTCATAAAGGTATAATAATTTATTTATATTACGAATTGATTTAATTAAAGATAAACTGCTGTATGACTAAATATTTCGTTAAATTTTACCCTTAAAGGGAACGGGGTATAAGTTGATTGACATTATAATGAATTTTTATAATTAAATTTAAAAGATTTAAAATTTTAATATATATAGGAGATACATGAGATGAAGTTCCACCCAGAGACGCAAATGTATCGTTCTTATACGTGTACGACATACTATCTTATACGACCTATATTATGTGACATATACGTCGTATAAGAACATAGCACCTGATCGTATAAGAACGATACATTTGCCCCAGAGACCCATCTCTACTTTTTTGGCAAATAAGATCTCTATCTCTCTATCTCTCTATACGTTTGTGGAATTTCAGGACTATGCTTGCGACCATCTGAGCCGCTGTTGAGCATTGTAATGTTTCTTTATCATTGAAAAACACTTCTTTTTAGATGTATGCTTATTATAATTTAATTCTTTAGGATGTACAATCTATTCGGAGACTTCTTGGCATCTTCCGGAATGGATCATACGATAAAAGTCTGTTCGTTGTGTACTCCAGTAATGAAGTATGCAATATTCTTCAATTCCAAAACCTTCGTCGTCTTTTCTTGTTGTTCGTTGGATGGCACGCAGTGGCGGTGCACTATCCTATATTGTCAACAGGCGAAGTACACAGCAACTTTGTGGATTGTATAAGATGATACGGCGATCTCTTACTGACAAGATGTGCTCATAACCCAAGGATTCTGCTTTGGAAGCCTGATGTAAAATCAGCGGCTTCTGATAATTCTAACCTCACAACGGTACTAGTTGTAGGTGAATCAGCTGCTAGTAAGGTAAGATTAAGTGATATAACTTTTTAAATTTTCTAGTAAATTGATGGATTTCTTTGGATTTAACTTTCTAGCCCTATAAAAATTTTTTAGAAAATTGATCACATGTCTGAGTTTTTATGGAGTAAAAACTAGAAAAATGATCATTCATTGAAGTTTTTTTCCAGAAAATTTTTTATAAGGTAGCAACAATCAAGCTTGTGAATTTGAATTCATGCATTGTGATCTTTGGTTCCTTCGACTTAGAATGTTGTGTGACTATCGAATGCTTGCAACGGGGAATCAAGTAGGAAAAATTTATTTCATCTTCTCTTGTTGTTCATCGGATCAAAGTAACGGTGCATTATCCTATATTTTCAACAGGCAAATTTGTGGATTGTGTAAGATGGTACGGCGATCTCTTAGTGCTCGTGACGCAAGGATACTGCTTTGGAAGTCTGATGTAAAATCAGCGGCTTCCGATAATTCTATAGGTTTAATGGTGGCCATTGTCACAAAATTTGCTGGATATTTATACTCTGAAAAAGCTTGCCGAAGCCGCATGTCAATTGAAGTAAGCATTCAGTGACCACCATACTTATCTCATCGATTATTACATATCTCACTTCTTTTAAACTATTCTGTAGTTGCTTTAACCGTTCGTCCTGACGTTTTGCGTCATTAATTATTGGTATTGATAACTTTGAATGTATCGTTCCCCCGTTGATGTTGAATGCTACGACTCCTGTTGGCGCAAGCACGACTATAGCCTGTTCCCAACCCAATTGATCTTAAATTTTTAATTCATTTTTTGCGAGTATTATTGTATGTGCTAATGCTTCTCCAAATTCAAAAAATGTTTTGATGATAGATTCTTAGGATTAATTTTTAATTTTTATCAAATTGTAATTAAATTTTACTAAAATAGAATTATTAAATAAAGAAGATACTTCATTTTTTATATTTTGTACTGATAGTAGTGTTGATGATGTAGTACCAGATTTTTCTTGAGTATTAATAATACATAAAATAGGAGCTAAATGTGCTAAAACTTTTTTTTTGAAATGCTAAATTATCAGAATTAGCAATATTAAGAATCCAATATCCAATTACTTCTAATGCCTTCTTTTTTTATATCTTATCCAACATGTTGATAAATATGCCCACTCTTTTCTTTATAACAATTCATATATATCATGCATGTTTACTCAAATTTGTTGGAATTACAAAAGAATGGTTGTTTGCAAGGAACCACATTTCATTTGCCTTATACAAGATACCTGAATATTTTTACCTATAACTGTATATGGGTGTTTTTTACAATTAGAATCATAATTAAAAAAAAAATTTATTTTTATTACAAAATAAACATCTATGTCTATGAATAATACTTTCCATAATCTTTAATTTGTTTTAAATTTGATAAATGCAATTGATTTTGATTATATAAAAAAAGGGAATAATAAACATTTAAATCTTCAATTGAAAAATTTTTTGCTTTAACTTCTTTATCATCAATTTGCTAAGTTCCAATCATTTACTAAAGCCATTTCAATTTTTTTTATAGTTGTAATGCTGAATTTTACTATCTAATATGTTAATTACACATAGAATTAATTTTCATTATTTGGTACTTTAGTAATTAAATTCTTCCAATTGTTTTCTTTCTCTGAAATATTTTGTTAAACTAATTTTTTTGAATTTATAAGCATATTAAAATCTAATTCAAATAAAGATTCTAAAGATTCATTTACTTATATATTATTTAAACTTTATATTTATTATATTCATTATAAAAACTTTTTGTTAAACTTTTCTTTAAAAAAAATATGCTATATTTTATTAATTTTTATTTAAATTTTAAAACTTGCTAACCCTGGTAAATTTCAAGTTTTTTTTATCTTTTATTATTTTTAATATTAAAAAATATAACAACTTTCAGTAAAGATTAAAGTTTAATAATAAAGAATACATAAAAATTTTTTTAATAAAGTTATAGAAGCAGTAACAAATATTACTACTTTGAATAAAAGATTATCTAAACCATTAAAAAATAATGAAATATCTGAATTTTCAGAAAATAAAGAGTTTAAATACAATATATAGTTAAACTAATAAGGTTGCTTATTTAAATTTATTTAAACCTTTCCAAAATCTTACAATTAATTTCTTTAAGATTTTACTATAATTTTATTATAATTTTAGACTTTTAGCAAAGTTTTAACAATTTCAACATTTATAATAAATTTTATCAGATTTCACTTTTCTTTAGAATTTCATTAACTTTTAATAAGACTTTTACATAATTTTGGCTATTTTAATATTTTATCAAGACATCAATTTGCTAATCCTCTAGTTTTTCTAAGTTAAACTATAATAATATATAAATAATATAATAGATAAAAATCCTTTATTTTATTTTTGATTAATACTTATTTTTATTAAATTATAAAAAATTGCCATTAGTAAAGTTACTTAATAATATTTCAATTTAAGTAAAAATTAATATCATATTATAATTTTAGTATAATTAAAATTGGGTATTGCTAAATATTACCAGTGGTGATCGTTACCATATCACTTAATTCTGGCCGAAAATTATAATTTTGGCTAGAATTAAAAAACACATTGTAAATAGGACCCCGGATATCTCCAAAACAGGTCATAAGTCACACTTTCGGCAGATTGGCCCATTTTTCAGGGGCTCAAAAAATCGTTTTTTGTAAATATCTCGGCATCCAGTGGTCCAATTTTGATGAACATTTTTTT